TCTCCCCCATGGTCCTCCGTTAAGTTCCTCCTAATCCACCTATACGTGGAAACATATGGTATCTGTCCTAGGAGAACACATATTAAATCTTTAAGTGTTTGGTAAATTCATCTATATATCTAGACTTGTATTTGTTGGGAGTTTTTTTGATTACCCATTTTTTGATTACCCATTAAATAAATTTCATTGAATTGGTCTGTTTAGATTATTTATTTATTTGTTTGTTTATTTATTTATTGTTTTTATTTTAGAGCGCGTGTGTGCCAGGAGGAGAGGGACAGAGGGAGGGAGAGAACCTGCTTAGGTTCCACACTCAGTCCATCATGGGACTTGATCCCATGGTCCTAGGATCATGACCTGAGCTGAAATTGAGTCAGACACTCAACCAACAGAGCCACACAATGCCCCAGTCTGTTTAGAGCTTCTGTTATTTCCCGATTCAGTTTTGGAAGATTGTGTTTTTCCAAGAGTTTATCTATTTCTTCTAGGTTGTTCAGTTTGTTGGCATATAATTTTTCATAGTAGTTTCTTTGTATTTCTGTTGTCAGTTGTTACTTCATTCATTTCTGATCTTTTTTTAATTTGGGTCCTCTCTGCTTTTGATGAGCCTGGCTAAAAGTTTATCAATTTTGTTTATTCAAAGAAGCAGGTCTTGGTTTCCTTGATCTTTTCTATTGTTTTTTGTTTTTATTTTAGTCTATTTCATTTATTTCTGGTCTGATCTTTTATTTCTTTCCACTAACCTTAGGTTTTGTTGTTCTCATTCTGTTAGATGTAAGGTTAGATTGTTGAAATATTTGTTACTTGAGGTAGGCCTTTATCACTGTAAATTTTTCTTCCACTGCTTTTTCTGTGTCCCAAAGATTTTGGACCATCGTGTTTTCATTTTCATTTGTCTCTATGTATTCTTTGATTTCTTCTTTGATTTCTTTGTTGACACATTGGTTGTTTAGCTTTCATGTGTTTGTGGTGTTTTCCAGTGTTTTTCTTGTGATTGATTTCTAGTTTCATGCCATTGTGGTTGGAAAAGATGCATGATATGATTTTAGTTTTCTTAAACTTATTGAGACTTGTTTTTTGGTCTAACATGATTTATCCTGGAGAATCTTCCATGTACATTTGAAAAGAAGATGTATTCTGCTGTTTTGGGATGTAATGTTCTGTATATATCTGCTAACACGAATGGGTTGTTCAAAGACACTCTTTCCTTATGGATTTTCTACCTGGATGATTTATCCATCAATATTAGTAGGTGTTAAAGTCCCCTACTATTATGGTAGTATTGTCAAACTTTCTCTTTATGTCTGTTAATACTTATTTTATGTATTTAGGTGGTCTAATGTTGGGTATAAAGATATTTATAATCATCATATCTTCTTTTTTCATTGATTCCTTTACCATTATTTAACACTCTTTCTCTCTTGTTACATCTTTGTTTGAAAGTCTACTTTGTATTGCTACCTCAGCGCTTTTTTTAAATTTTATTTTTCTTTTGCTTTCATTTGCATTGAATCTTTTTCCATCCCTTTCCTTCAGTTTGTATGTGTCTTTAGGTCTGAAGTGATAAAACATGAGACCCTTTTATATGCTGCCTACAAGAAGACTCACTTCACCCTATATATTTGATTGGTGCATTTATACCATTTACATTTAAAGTAATTACTGATAGGTATGTGCTTATTGTTATTTTGTTAATTGTTTTTTGGTTATTTATGTAGTTCCTCTCTGTTCCTTTTTTCTTCTCTTGCTCCCTTTTCTTGTAATTGGTGATTTTCTTTAGTGTTATACTTAGCTTGCTTTCTCTTCTGTTTTTGTGGATCTGTTACAGATTTTTGTGTTTGTGGTTACCAGGAGGTTTCTCTATAGGATTCTAAGTATAGCCATCTACAATTGACGGTCACTTAAGTTGGAACATCTTTTTTTTTTTTTTTATGTTTGTTTATTTTTGAGAGAGTGAGAGAGAGTGTGGGCAAGCTTGCACATTGGAGGGACTAGAGAGAGGGAGACAAAGTATCTGAAGCAGGTTCTACACTGACAGCAGAGAGCCTGATGTGGGGCTCGAACTCATGAACTGTGAGACCATGACCTGAGCTGAAGTCCAACACCCAACCGACTGAGCCACCCAGGCAACCCAAGTTGTAACACCTTATAAAAGGACTTCTTTTTTATTCCCTCCATGCTTTGTGTGGTATCGTATTTCACATCTTTTTATTCATAAGTATTGTCTAATTATGGCTTTTTCTTTTCTACTTAAAGAAGTTCTTTAACATTTCTTTGTAAGTCTGGTGTAGTGGTGAGGAGCTCCTTTAACTTTTTGCTTGTCTGGGAAACTTACCTTATCTGTCCTTTAAATCTGAATGATAATATGGCTAGGTAGGTTTTGGTTTTTTTTGTTGTTGTTGTTGTTTTTTGAGAGAGAGAGCACATGATCAGGGGAGGGGCAGAGCAAAGGAGACAGAATCTCAAACAGACTCTCCAGTGTCAGCACGGAGCCTAAGGTGGTGCTTGAACCCATGAAACCATGAGATCATGACTTGAGCTGAAGTCAAGAGCTGGATGCTTAGCTGACTGAGCCACCCAGGCACCCCCTGGGTAGATTATTCTTGATGGTGGGGTTTTTTTTTTCCTTTTATTTAGCATTTTGAATATATCATGACCCATTCCCTTTGGGTATGCAAAGTTTCTGCTGAAAATCAGCTGATAGCCTTGTGGGGTTTTCTGTATAAATACATACTTTTTGCTTCTCAGTTGTTTCTTTTAAAATTCTCTTTATCTTTAGTCTTGGATATTTCGATTATTATGTGTCATGGTGTGGACCTCCTTGGGTTGATCTTGTTTGGACTCTCTGTTTCCTTCTTCAGGTCAGGGAGGTTTTCAGCTATCCTTTCTTTTTTTTAAATTTACTTTTATTTTTTATTAAAAAATTTTTTTAATGTTTATTTTTGAGAGAGAGCAAGCATGAGTGGGAGAGGGGCAGAGAGAGAGAGGGAGACAGGATCTAAAGCTGACTCTGTGCTGTCAGTGCAAAGCCCAACATGGGGCTCAAACTCATGAACTGTGAGATCATGATCTGGTCTGACCTTGGATGCTCAACGGACTGAGCCACCTGGGCTCCCCAACTGTTATTTCTTCAAATAAGTTTTCTGTTTTTTTCTCTTTCTTCTGGGACCATATAATGCTATGATTATTCACTTGATGTTGTTGACGAGATCCCTTAACCTGTCCTCATTAAAATTTTTTTTTTCTCTTTGCTGTTTAGGTTGGCTGTGTTCCATTACCAGTTTTTTCTTTTAAAAATTTTTTTTAATGTTTTATTTATTTCTGAGAGAGAGAGAGAGAGAGTGTGAGCAGGGGAGGGTCAGAGAGAGAGTGAGGGAGACCAGAATCTGAAGCAGGCTCCAGGCTCTGAGCTGTCAGCACAGAGCCCAGTGTGGAGCTCAGACCCACAAACTATGAGATCATGACCTGAGCCGAAGTCGGATGCTTAACTGACTGAGCCACTCAGGCACCCCCATTACGTTTTTCAGATCACTAATCTGTTCTTCTGCATTTGTTAATTCCTCTAGTGTATTTTTCATTTCAATTATATTTTCCAATTCTGATAGGTTGTTTTTTAAATGTTTTATTTTTGAGAGAGTACAAGTGGGAGAGGGGCAGAGAGAGAGGGACACAGAGGATCTGAAGTGGGCTCTGCACTGAGATGTGCAGACTTGAATGTGGGGCTTGAACTCACAAACTGCGAAATCATGACTTGAGCCAAAGGTGATGCTTAGCTGACTGAATCACCCACATGCCCCTGATAGGTTTTTTAAAAAAAATATTTTCTATCTCTGTTGAAGTTCTCACTGACTTCTTCCATTCTTCTCTCCAGTCTGGTGAGCACCTTTAAGACCTTTTCTTTAAACTCTACCTGGTATATTGCATGTCCCTGTTTCCTTTAGTTATTTCTCTGAAGTTTCCTTATTCTTTCATGTGGAACATATTCCTCTGTCTCCTCATTTTGCTTGACTTTATGTGCTCACTTCTATGAATTAGGGGAACAGCTGCTTCTCCTCAACTTGAAGGAATGGTCTTCTGTACGGTCATCCCTGATTAGACTGTGTGTGCCTGGTGACTGTGGCGGGTTGGCTGGAATGGTGTCGGGCATGGGCCGGGAGTCCCAGGGCACTCTGCTGGAGCTGCCCTAGTGGGATGATTGGAGCTAAAGTGGGTGTGGACTGGGGTGCTCCTGAGGCTCTCAGAGAATGCCTTGGCAGGATAACTGAAGCTTAAGTGGAGGTAAGCCAGTGTCCCAGGGTGCTCTGTGCACTCTGTGGAGCTGAGGTGGGGCATGGGCTGGTGGGAGGGGAGCTGGAGTGCTTTGCGCAGGGGCCACCCTGGCAGGACAGCTGTAGCTGAAATGGGTACAGGCCAAGGGGTCCCAGGGCTCTCTGTGCAGAGGGCACCCTCAGCCTCTTTCTCGAAATACTACTAATGGAATGATCACTAAGGAAGTGTCCATTCTAGAAGCCTTAAGTGCCAAATACTTGTTGGATTTGGGCTTCAAAGTTTCTGTTATTATACTCTTCAGCAACTCTTGAGATGTTCTTTTGAGTTAAATATGATATTTAAAAATACATGTCAAATCAATTTGTAGCATTCCTGTAACTAGCCCTTTGAGTCCCTCACCTGAGAAAGAGCTAGTACCTGCCTATACCTCTCACTGTTGCTTGAAAACCCAGCAGGGGTCCCTGTACCAGCCTTCTGTGGGCTTGTGCCAGCCATGTTCATTTGAGGGAATAATAGCCGTGCATTGGGTTATTTTTGCAATACCAAAGAATAAACTATCTGCTTGTATGAAGATGTGTTTTGTTATTTAAAATTCAGTAAGCAAAGTTCATATACTGGTAATGAGAGCACGAGTGAAACCTGCATTATGTGAAAGATTCTTGATACAAATTGTAATGTTAAAATGAAGGGGAATTGTAAAGTATTGGTCTCTTGTTTCCTTTATTTTGAAGAGTCTCCGATCAAAGTCGTGGCCCTGTGTGCTGGTTCTGGGAGCACTGTGCTGCAGGGGGCAGAGGCCGACCTTTACCTCACAGGTAGGATAGCTTTTGAGTCTCCTTTTCTTTTCTGTGTGTATCCTTCCCAACCTTGGTTTATTTTTTTACAAGAAAAAAAAATGGGTTTTAGGCCAGCACCTGGCATATAGATCTAATACCTGTTGTTTGAACCTGAACTAAACAGGAACTACACTGAAATTGGAGACCAACCATATTCTTTTAGAGGGGAAAAGAACAATTTACTATTAGATTATCTTAAAAACTTATGTCCAGCATTTATTTAACCTGTGTTCTTCCTAAACATTCTCATAGATTTTATGTCTGTTAATGGGATACTTTGTACCTTTCCACCTTAGCTTGAAAATGGTTCTTACTCAGACCTAAAGCCAGTCACTAATTCCTGTCATTTCTACCTCCAGAATCTTTTTTTAAGGCTTATTTAGTTTTGAGAGAGCGTACAAGAGCGAGGGAGGGGCAGAGACAGAGAGGGAGAATCCCAAGCAGGCAGTGCAGTCCGATGCAGGGCTTAAACCCATGAACCATGAAATAATGACCTGAGCCGAAATCAAGAGTCGGATGCTCAACCAGTTGAGCCACACAGGCATTCTGTCCAGAATCTTTATAGAGCCTTTTCCTCTAATCTCTATTCAGGCATCATCTCCTTCCTGAAATACGTAAGTCTTCCACATACAACCCTCAAATTAACTTTTTTTCAAAGGTGCAAATTTGATGGTGTATAATATTATCCTAACTAAAAAGTCTTTAGTGATTTCCTTCACGTGGCCTGGTCGGGCCTGAACGTTCTTTCATCCTTTTTCATGCAGCCTTTACTTCTGTGGTTTTCTCTGGCTAAAATGCCTTCCTTGCCGCTTTCTTTACACTTCTAGTGATAAGCTCAGGATACCTCCTCTGAGAATCTTTTTCTGTCTGTTTCCTTCTCTGATGGTCATGCCTTCCTCTCCAATTCCCTTTGCTTTATCCTTTTTTTTTTTTTAAATTTTTAATTTTAGAGCAAGAATGAGCAGGGGAGAGGGGCAGAGGGGCAAAGGAAGAGAGAAAGAGAATATCTTAAGCAGGCTCCACACTCAGTGCAGAGCCTGACGTGGGGCTCAATTCCATGACCCTGGGATCATGATCTGAGCTGAAATCAAGAGTTGGACAGTCAACTGACTGAGCCATCCAGGTGCCCCTCTAGTTGCTTTGTCCTTAACTATGCAATTCTGTTGGATGGTAATCGTTCGGCTTTATACTCTGTCCTACAGGGTAACATCTACTAGGTAACATTGCCCGTCATTCAGAAAATTTGGAGGGACTTTGTACACTTGCTGCTACCAGCTGCATTTCCCCCTCTGTTCCTCCTTAGGGTTGAAAGAGGGAGTTAAGAATTACTTTTTCCAGAGTCCTTGTTGGCTTAATCAGTAGACTGATTAATCATGTGACTCTCGATCTTGGCTTAATCATATGACTCTTGATCTTGGGTTTGTAAGTTTGAGCCCCACATTGGGTGTAGAGATTACTTAAACATAAAATTGTTAAAAAAAATAATAATAATGATTTTCACTTACAGCACCAGACTCCGGGGTCCTAGCCCTCTGGCTGTTCCCTTGGCTACTTCCTAGGCCTCTCCATTATTATTTTCTCTCCTGCCTCCCATATCCATGCCCCTTATTATCTAGCACACCCTCCTTCAAAGGCTGTTGAACTTAACATTGCCAAATCCAGAAGTATAGAGGTGCAGCATCTCTGCAAGCCTGATTTGTCTGAACTTTTAAAAATGTACATTAGGGGCGCCTGGGGGGCTTAGTCGGTTAAGCGTCTGACTTTCGCTCAGGTCACGATCTCGCGGTTCGTGGGTTCGAGCCCCGCATCGGGCTCTGTGCTGACTGCCAGCTCAGAGCCTGGAGCCAATTTCAGAGTCTGTGTCTCCCTCTCTCTCTGACCCTCCCCTGCTCACGCTCTCTCTCTCTCTCTCCTAGAAATAAATAAAACATTAAAAAAAAAATTTTTTTTAATAAAAAAAAATAAAAATAAAAATGTACATGACCATTATTCTTATAAAGATGTAAAACTTTTATAAGCCCTCAAACTTGCACCAGATTGAAATAAACTTTTAATGTGTAAGCAATTTGACAAAACTTCTTACAGCACTGTATGTGACTGTTTTAAAATTAATTGTAATTTTACTTCGAAGGAATTTTATAATTATAGATAAGTTGCAAGGATAGTACAGTGGACTTTTGTATCCCCTTAAGATCACTAATAGTTGTATTTTGCTACATTTGCATATTCTGTGTTACATACATATTCTATGTGTGTATGTATGTGTGTATAAATATGTATCTGCGGGTGTATATATAAATATATTTCTATTTGTGTGTTTCCCCTGAAACTATTTTGTAATAAATTGCATACATGACATTTTATCCCTAAAAAATCAGCATATATCTCCTAAGAACTAAGGACATTTTTTTTTTAATGTTTTTTATTTATTTCTAAGAGAGAGAGACATCGTGCGCAGGGGAGAGTCAGAGAGAGAGGGAGACACAGAATCTGAAGCAGGCTCCAGGCTCTGAGCTAGCTGTCAGCACAGAGCCCAACATGGGGCTCGAACCCACAAACCTTGAGATCATGACCTGAGCCGAAGTCAGACACTCAACCGACTGAGCCACCCAGGCGGCCCTAAGGACATTTTCTTTTATGACCAATGATCAAATACAATCTACATTTAAATTTTGCCAAATGATCAGAATTGTAGCATTTCTTTTTCTGATTGATATCTAATCCATGAGCATACACTGCATCTAGAAGAGTTTCTCAGCTCTGCCCAGAGCATTGACATTTTTGAAGAGTATAGGCCATTTGTTTTGTGGTTATCTCTAAATTTGGGGCATGTGATTATTTCCTTATAAATAATGACTTTCTTAAAACTAGTTCCTAAAGTCTCTTGAAAGAGACTTTTTAAATTTTTTATTATTGTTAATCTTTATTTTTATTTTATTTTATTTTTTTTAAATGTTTTTTATTTATTTCTAGGAGATAGATAGAGACAGCGTGAGCAGGGGAGGGTCAGAGAGAGAGGGAGTCACAGACTCTGAAACAGGCTCCAGGCTCTGAGCTGGCTGTCAGCACAGAGCCCGACGCGGGGCTCGAACCCACGAACCGCGAGATCATGACCTAAGCGAAAGTCGGACACTCAACCGACTAAGCCACCCAGGCGCCCCTGTTAATCTTTATTTTTAGAGAGAGTGCACAAGTGGGAAAGAGGGGCAGAGGAAGAGAGAGAGAGAACCTTAAGCAGGCTCTATACTCTGTGTGGAGTCTGATGTGGGGCTCCATCCCACGACCCTGGGATCATGACCTGAACCAAAATCAAGAGTCAGATGCTCAACTGAGTGAGCTACCCAGGCATCCCTTGTTTTGTTTGTTTAAACTATTAAGCAGTATGTGCATAAAATAAATTCATGCAGTTCAAAATTGTTAAAATAGCCTCCCTATCTGGTAACGTGGGGAAATAGAAAGTATCTTCTTATCTGGCTGACCTTAGATGTCTGATCTGTGAGGCGTCACTTTGAGCATAAGTTTAGGGATGAAAAGCACCAGGTCAAAGACACATAGAGGCCTCTGCTGATGTTCATCACCCTTCCTTTGAGTGTAACGTGGTAGTATCAGGGTGTTAAGGGTGATATCCTAGAAAGACCAGCAGATGGGGAGCTTGTTCTTTGTAAATGTAAATTCTCATTTGCTTTTTCTTTCCCACAGCTACCCTCCTGAGCTAGGCTTTTCTTCTCTTTGCCTTCAGCTATTACAGAGTCTTTGCAGATCCCCCTTCCCCTGCCCCGCCTTTCATGCCTTCTCCTCACAGCATTTATAATTGTCCAGGTCACCAGACTTGTCTTTCCTGAAGCGTGGCTTCTAACCGGGCCCCTTAGTGTCTTTCTTCTTTTAGTTTACCTTTGCTGTTATAGATTAAGATATTTTAAAAGATGCTTGAATAAAGACTATCCCATTTATGAAATGACATGTATTGGAGAGTAGGGGGAAGTGTGGAGGATTGAACCTTTCCCTAAGAACCTTTTCCCCTTATTTTTTGATGCTTTCACGGCTCTAAACATATTTCAAAATTATGCTTGTTATTAACAAGCTAAATTGTGTATTTTTGCTGTAAAATCAAATCATCAAATTCACAAATAGGGCTTTTAAAAATTCAGAACACTTCAGGGGGCACCTGAGTGGCTCAGTCAGTTGAATGTCCAGCTCTTGCTTTAGGCTCACTCATGATCCTAGTGTCAGGGGATTGAGCCCAGTGTTGGGCTCTGTGATGAGCATGGAGTCTGCTTGGGATTCCCTCTCCTTCTGCCCCTCCCTTGTGTGCATACTCACTCTCTCTAAGATAGAAAAAAAACAACTCTTGGGGTGCCTGGGTAGCAGTTAAATGTCTGGCTACTGATTTCAGCTCAGGTCAAGATCTCATGAATAGTGAGATTGAGCTCTGCGTTGGGCTCTGTGCTGACAGCATTGAGCCTGCCTGAGATTCTCTTTCAGCACCACCCACATGTGGAGGTATTTTGTTATTTAATACCGATATGAGAAGTTTTCTGAAAGTCCCAATTGACTTAGCAGTACTCAGTTATCTTATGGAAACATTTTGAATGGGTGTTCTTTTAGATCTGGTTCCAGTGGCATTAGATGCTATTGCATACGGGGGGTTAAATTCTTGTCTTGAGTCTGTCAAGGAGAAAGAATGTGGAATTCTCGTTGGGATGATCTGTCTCTTTCTAAATTGGAAGATACTTAAGAAACCTGTACTTTCTAGATTTATGTGTAAAGTTTTGCTTTTTACACAATGCAGACTTGGTGTTTCTGCAGTTATGGTTAAGCATTCCACAGACTCTGTGTCTAATGTGTAAGTATTTGCTCTTTGTTGGCAGGTGAGATGTCCCATCATGATGTTCTTGATGCTGCGTCCCAAGGAATAAGTGTCATCCTCTGTGAACATAGCAACACTGAACGAGGCTTTCTTTCTGATCTTCGAGATATGCTGGGTACTCACTTGGAAAATAAGATTAATATTATCCTGTCAGAAAGAGACCGGGACCCTCTTCATTTGATATAAAGCATACAGGAACAACAGGATGACACAGTCTACAAATCAGTTTGCTCCCAACTCGAATGCATAACGGGAATCAGAGTTAGTATCCATCTGGAAGAATGTCTTAGAATGTACATTATTTCTGGTTTGTAAATCTGTTTCACCAAATAGTCTGTAGCTTGTATGGTAAAAACCATAATGTAACTACTATTAACAAATATTCATTATAAGATGAATCAAGCATAAACTCCAGGAAAATTCCTTAACATTCTTGGTAAGTAGCTTCTCCTTAGCCTAATTATAGATGAGATCTGTCATTTGAGATCTCTCTGCCCTTGGTTAGTTTAAAAACTTGAGATTGGAACCGTGATTTCTAGGTAGCAGCCTTTAGGGGGTGGTAAGGTCTGTCTGTTCCTGTTCATAGATCACTAATGTCTCACCTCAATTTCAAAATCAGGATGAGGTTTTGTTTTTGTTTTTTCTTAATATACATGACCATTATTCATAATTACTGTCTTATTGCTTTTGGGTAACTCACCTGAAACTTTATCAGCAATACATAAAAGATGGTTAGCTTTCAAAATGATAAGTTACCATACAATATTAATTTTGTGCTAGGCCCTCTCCGGCATGTTATAAACAGTTTCAATCCTTATAAATAAGAATAAAGGTATTATTATTTCCATTTTACAGATGAGTGAACTGAAACAGAGGTTAAGGAATTTGCCCAAAGCCACATAGATAGGGAGTGGAGTTAGGACACAAACGATGGTAACCTGGCTCCACGGTCTGTGTTCTTTACTTCTTAATCAACACTGACTGACGATAAAACTGATACAGGAATGATGTAAGGAATCCTGAAGGAAAAGAAATCCATTTTCACTGGCATTTCTCTGGCTGGTATGGAAGGTTTTTCATTTGAATTACTTGTATTCCTATTTCCAGTTTCTCTGCTGAGCTTTTTACTTTGGTAATGATGAAAGCAAATCTTGTAAAATGCCAAGAAAGGATATTACATTTCTTTTGTAGGACTCTCTTCCTACCAGTCCTGTCCTGAAGGATTTGGGATCCTGACTTACAAATTATTCTTGGTGGTTTGCTGTAATATTGATTCACTACAGAAGTAACCAATAGGACTGAGCCTTCAGAAATGCCCCCAATTAGAGAGTCAGAGGAGCCAAGAGAGAAGGTGGGAGGAGAATCAGCCAAGCGTCAGAAGCCAAGTAGAAAGCTTGGATGAGGGATGGTGGACGCCAAAGTAGAGGGAATGAGATAGACAGCTTTGAGAGACCATTCTAATGGCATTTGCCTCAGTCATTCTATGTGCTGGGCCCATAGAGAAGTGGGGAGAGTAGGACAGAAATTTGGATGATACTTTATAGAGTATACTGTAATTAACTATGCTAAGGATATGCAGAGGCCTACAGGGAAAGTTTTCTGAGGAATGGGAATAGAATTCAGCCAAGAGGTACAGTATGCTTGAACAAACACGGAGTAAAGAGAAACCGCACAATGCATTGAAAAAGCCCAGGAAATTAATTCATTTGTTGCCAGGGAAGAAAGCAGGAGGCATAAAAGGTTATGGTTAGAGATGGTGCTTTAAGAAATAGCTTGGGACCAGTAATTTCTCAAACCTTTTTCTCTTTATGTGAAGACATGGTTTCACAGTTACTCATGCTAAAGGTTGTAGATTAATTCCTTTGGATAGAGTTCCAGAAGGGATTTAATGGATCAAAGAATTCATGAGTGGACATACTTCCTGCTAAGTACATTTTTTTTTTTTTTTTTTTTTTAAAAGAAGGACATTGGGGTCCCCAGATGGCCTAGGGTTAAGTATCCGACTCTTGATACTGCTTGGGTCATGATCTAACGGTTTGTGAGTCTGAGCCCCGCATTAGGCTCTGTGCTGATAGTGCGGAGCCTGCTTGGCAATCTCCCCACCCTCCTCACCCTTCAGCTTATGGTGTCTCTCACTTTCTCTTAAAATAAACTTAAAAAAAAAGACCTTACTACTACAATTTTTAAAGCTGCTTTACCAGCATGCTGGCTAGCATTTTTAAATAACTAAAAGTACTCCCAACTATATCCCTTGTAGTTTTTAAAAAATAAAGTATCACTGTGAAGATGAATTCTTTATTTTCACTTGCCAAGTCTTTTGAACTGGTAACTTTAAGGTGTTGTCATTGCTTTTCAAACTTTAATGTGCACAAGAACATCTGGAGATGTAGTTTAAAAATGCATTTAAAAAATGCAGATTCTTAAGTAGGGCCCAGGCATTTGAGTTCCTAAGAGTTACTGCTGCTGCCATCTTGAGGACTATACTTTAGGTAGCAAAAGTAACAATGGTGACCTAAAAACTTGGGAGGGCCCGAGGTCAAAGTGTGCTACATGCTTTAAGGTAGTTAGCTTTCTTTTATTATACTCACATTTAATGTCACATTGTCTATAGCATCAGTTATTTCAAATTTTATTCAGCACAGTAAGGATACTACTAATGCTATTAAAACCTTGTAATATTTTGTACTTGGTTTTCATGTCCTTAAAACTCCTGTCCAGAATAGAGCCTTCTGTGTAGTGAGTGTTCAACAAACATGGATTAAAAATGTTTAAACAGCAATTTGAAAAATCAAAAATGTAGGAGACTCTCCTAAGGGAGAAATAATTATAGGAAGCCTGAGAACAAAGTCATTTGCATAACTTTTTTAATCCCTTAGTTTTAGGGGCAGTCTGTGATAAGGCAGACCCTCATGACTTTGTCATCTTTGTTGGCTACTCAGGACTAGGCTGGAAGAGTCTTCTCACCTAGAATGTAGTAAAATACATTCTGAACAATATTACTGGCTCCACATTTGAATTGGGGGAAAACATAAGACTTCTAAATTAACTTTTTTAAAAGATAAATTGATTAACTGTCTCTTAAACTGATATTTTATATGAATGAAATGCTCATGTACTAAAATGACACATATGCTAAGAAGAAAGTTTTTAGAGCATCATAAGAGCTGATTTAGCACTCTCTGCATCAGGGATTCAGTGCCGTATCAGCTTTTGTGGAGTGTAAGAATGCCTGTTCTACATCCATTGTGCCCTTTTTGGGCCTGTATTATTTGGCCATTTTATTAAGAGCAGCCAGAAAAATCAAGTTTTTTCAGGTCTGTTAATTCTTGTCGGAATCAAGTAACAGCAGAAGTTGGAGCCTTAGCAGTCAAGCTCTTAACTGACAGTATAAGGAACATCGATACTGACATAATAAAGAGTGTAGAATAATTCTGCTAAGATCTTCAATAGGTCTGTAAGATAAGCTTATAAAATATTTGAAGGACTTCTAATTATTTTCAGTAAAAAAAATCAGTACTAGAAAAAAATTCTATCCAAATTGGCTTTTTATTTATTAATAGACTATTGTATTGACACGTAACTGCTTGTAATAGTATGGACACAAAAATTATAAAAATAAACCAGTAGATATTTAAGGGCAAATGTAAAACTTGCATATTAGGTCATTAAAGATTTTATATATTTTATACTATAAGTTATAAACTAGACATATTAAGCAAAGTGCAAACCAGCACAAATCATATGCTACAATTTGTGTTTTTAAAAGATACAGACCCATACTCTTCAATGTGCATAGAATACCTCTGGAAGGAATAAACAACTACAACTGGTTGGTGTAAGGGACTGGAAGGAATACTCGACTTTTCACTGAATATCCTTCGGTTACAAAAATTTTTAGAATCAAATTCATGTACAGATTTGTTTAAATATTTTGATTATATTTAAGGTTAAATTAACAAACTCTCATACATGGATTTAACAAAATATATGGCACAAAGAAATGACTTCCAACTCTGAGCATTTGGGGAAGTATTTTCATGAAAGGGGTTTACAGTTTATGTACTGCATTAGCATTTTCACTTCTTATTACAGTGGTGTTTCAATGAAGAATTTTATTCCAGCCATGAAATAATTTTAAGGGAGTATATGAAGACTACAAGCTGACCAGTGGCCAAGGTTAGCTTTTTTCTCTTTCCTAAGGAAAAAGACTTGTGTAAATATTTAGAAGGCTTGAAATTATTACTTTTAAGAAAAAAACTGAAATGTCTTACAATGAGCTTTAGGTCTACTTGATAGAGAAATCAAGATTAAAGCCACCCATTTATATGGTACTCACTTGCATGTTACTGAAAAAAACAATGTCAATACAAGAATAACTGAATTTTTATTTTCTGTTTTCTTGAAAACAAGGACTAAAATGTAACTCAGGATTGTGTTTCTGTAGCCTGGCTTCTCACTTGTATCATGAGGATGATGGCACAGACATTAACTGTTCCAAGTACCATGATTATTGTTCATGTGCTTTCTAAGGTGGGTATACACCTCATATAAATATGCTTTTCCCACTATCCCAACAGAATAGTCTCATGCCCTCTTTCTCCCTACCCCCACCAGCGTGTAGTCTAAATCCAAAAGGCGAAAGCTAGATCACCTACTCTGCCCCAGTCTTAAACACCTTTTGTTAGGCCTTTCAAGAACAGGAAGATGATCTGCCTTCTCCTTTACACCCAACAGCTCTGACAGAACAGCAAATAAAGTAGATTTATGTGATGCCAAGGTTTTATACTTCCATACTGGAATAAACACATTTGCAAACAATCAGCTCTGGGGGTGTTGAAAAGGCCCTCAAAATATTAGGAATAATATCATCTCTAGTATAAAAGAATTCAAAAACATCCAGCTCCAAATAGTCCCTGAGCACACTGTTCATTCCAGCATGAAGTCTCCAGAGAGGTAATGAATGAAAGGCACGTTTTCTCCTACTTGAGGACCGCTGCATAGTACTAGAGATGGTACGCCAGCCAGGCTAATCAAGGTTCTAATGGATGACATTTCCCCTCCCAATTTTAAGTCTTGTACACTGGAAAAAAGAGTCTAATGTTAGATGTAAACACAACACTTAGACTAGAGGAGTGGCAGCTGGGGTCCAACAACCCTTCCACAAACGCTTCAAGAGTAAAGGGCAGCTTCAAGACTCTTCTTCTTCCTTTTCCAAGAAATCAGTCAATGTTCCATTGTCCACAGGAATTAACAAATATTCTACTCCATCAGCTCCCTAAAAAACGTGAGAATACCCTGGATGTTAGTGATTTGTAAAGATATATGTGACTCTTGTAGGTTAAATTGAAAAATGGATTTAATATTTTACATAAATATGGAAATGTAAAGATTAAGGCAAAAAGAGCAGGCATATATATTTAAGTACAGTGAGTTTATAGTTAAACCGCTTTATTATTGAAAAGACTAGAGCATAAGTGAGTTCTTTACCCTCCTGTTCTTTCTACAATTTTACATACTGATTTCTTGGTTCTTTTATCCATGTATCTCTCCCTAACCCCTCTTTTTAAAAATGTAATTTCTATACCCAACATGGAACTTGAACTCATGACTCCGAGATCAAGAGTTTCAGGCTCTACTGACTGCCAGCCAGGTGTCCCCAGGTATCTCCCCTTCTTAAAATAATCCTCACTAGACTCTCATTTCTATCACCCAACCTCTACCTTTCCAGAAGAGTTATCAATATTTGGTGACTCCATTTTCTCACCTTTCACTCAACCCATTCCAACCTAGCTACTACCACTATTATCACGTCATCAAAAAAGCTTTTGCTTGGAGCACCAAGGAATTCTTAAATCCAATACAGATTTTTCGGTTTTCATCTTTTTGGTCTCTGAGCAGAACCTAGCACTGCTGACTATTCTTTCTTAAAACATGCTTCTCTTGGCTTCTATGACATCATATCCTAGTTTTCTTCCTGGCTGTCTGGCTATTATTCCCACCTCTACAAGCCTATCTTCTACTTGGCCTCTAAATGTCACACTTCTGGGCTTAGTTCCTGGCCTTCTAATCTCACTGAATGTCCTTTCTCCTGATAGTTCTTCCATTACAACCTAAATACGTAGGGATCAGTCTTCTGTCTCTAGCCCAATCTTTCCTCTGGTTTCTTGTCCCAGGATATACAGTTGCCTAGCTGACATCTCCACTTGGAAGTCTCAAAAGGTAAATCCAAACATAACTACAATCACAAACTCATCATCTGTCTACCAAAAATGCTTCTCATCCAGTGATCTCACCATCTCTGGTTATGCAAGCCAGACACCAGAAATCATTCTTTACACTTTTCCTTGGCTCTTACATCCAACCTATTAACAATTCTTGTCCGTTCTACCTCCTAAATATATCTAGACTCCAACCCCTTTTCTCTCTTCATCCTAGTCAAGTTACCATAATCTCATTCAGACTATTACTAGTTTCCTAACTGGTCTCTGGGCACTGACTTTTAGCAGTTCCCACCTCACCCTGCCCCACTGCACTGTGCATACCAGAGTCAGAACAATTTCAAAATCCTTTCCGTGGCATTAAGGAGCATATAATCTAGACCTTATACCACTGTGTTTTCAGTCTCTCATTCTGTGCGATGCTGGCCACCTTTGTTTTTCTGTGACCAGTTATCTCCTAGTTTTCCTTGATCTCAGCTCAGTGATCTGATAACCATAATTAGGTTGGAGTCACATATTATGCTTTCAGAACCATGTACCCTTCTGATCATAGGACTTACCACAGTTAAATCTTTATACATGTGTGTATTTGACAAATGCCCATCTCCTCCAATAGACTTTTAAGCTCCATCAGAAAGAAATTGGGTTTTTGCTTAGTAGTATATCCTAATACTTAGTGCAATATCTGATATGTAGTGCTCCATGTAGACTCAATTAGTGAATGTGGCAGGA